ATTTTAAAACATATTTATTCAGAATAAAACAGCACGCTTACCGAATGGTTCGATGTAAATTTTTTCTTTTTTTTATTTCCATCAAATGTAACGGCAAACTGATCACAGTGATCTTCTCGACATGTCAAGATAAACTTGCAAAAATATAGCACTTCTTTTTCTTTTCTAACAATTGAGTATATATTTACAATTTTTTTCTTTAAGATAAAATTTTTGTCGATGTAAAATATCTTAAATGCTTTTTCTCATATCCTAACATTATAAACAAAATGAAATTAGTAATCGACTTCAAAAGAAGCTTTTAAAAGCGTTAAAAAATTTTTTTAAAGTCTATTAGTAATTTAATCTTAATTACAGCTATATTATAACAAAATACGATATTATATTATTTAAAACATTTATTTTGATTTTATATTTCAAAACTGTAAACAAAATTAAATACCAAAATATATTATGACTCTGCTCGTTAATGAAAATACAATATAAAATAAATTCTAATAAAAATCAGCCAAAGACGAACTCGGTTTTGACCAATTTTTATTATTAAAATTTATATTGTAAAATTAAATATATTATATTTGACACGAGAAACAATATATTTTATAAGTATCAATTATTATTGTAAGATATAACAATGCTTACTATCTTTTTTAATTTCTAGAGAATTGTTATTATTAATCTATTCTTGTGAAAAAAATGTCGCTATTTTCTGATTTGATATTTTAACGCAAAAATATAAGCGTTAAAAAATATTTTTATTCGTGATTAATTATAAGGCTCTTTTCGATTACTGCATGCATGTGGAAATATTTTAGCATACGTCAAATTTTATCGGATAAGCTTTATTCGCATAAATGTGCATACGAGAATCGCAGGGGTGATTATTCTTACCATTTTTATCTCTCACCGCCAACAATTCGTCAACATTTTACACGCAAATTTTGCCATCACCGATATCGCAACCACGCGCGGTTAATTTTGCGAGATCGTGCGGTGATATCTCGACACCATTACAGCGCAACCTCCCTTTTTCAATTCAAACTCACACGACCGCCTACCGGTGCAAAGAATGTTTAATATCAGATTTCATGCGGGATCGCGTCGAGAACGGGCCCCTTTCGTCGGGGGTCGTCTCACCGTCATGAATGATGCCCGGCCAGCCATATCAAACGCGACGACGGCTTTGTTTCCGTCCGGCGTAAATCCCGTCGGGAATTCCGCGACGGAATACCGCACGCGCGAAGATTCCGAGGATGCGAGGCCAGCAACGAAGCTGCTCCAGCGTGGTTTCTCCTTTCGGACCTTCTATCATCTCCAGTTGGTCTCCCTTCGCGCTCCTGCAAACTACGTTTGCCTCTCGGCCGTCTCGGAGAAACGATCACGCCGACGACTCACAAAGCGCGCGGTGGGATTGCATCCGAAGAAATTTATATTCTTACGCTAGATATTCCAGGACGACTCTCGCGGAAAATCCGGGGACGAGCAAGTTACGCTTCCTTCTCGAGAGACGTCTCCCTCCTCCCCTCGCAAAAATAAGTATGCGTATGCCGCGTGCGTCGCGTTTTTCTTAAATTAGAATCTGCCGCGACGCGAAGCGAACGTTCCAACGTTCCTGCAGACAGTTTTTGCGGATTGTCAAAAGTATGTTTAATATAATGAAAATAATATTTAAACAATAACGTCTGGGGTATCTTGAAATTACGTGACGTAGTATCTCAAAAAATTCTATAAAATTTTTACGGAATTAAAAATATGTCAGTTGTTTTAATACAGTGATGTGTCAGTCTTGAATTATAGCAACTGTAACAAAAATATTTTAAACAGAAAATATTTTAAATTTTAACGTTATAAATTTTGTTGTTTTAATTCAAAAATATAAGCATTAACACAGAAAATTATTTTGATATTTATAATTACTGAAATATATTTAAAAAGAAAGATGAGAAAACTGTAGCAATAATGGCTTTCAATCAAATTTTTTATTTTTGATTAAAATCAATGCCAAAATAAACCATCAATAAAATGCATATCGATATAGTGGAGAGCTTATTAGTTGATTATACAAACATTGCTGAATTTAATTTCTACTCACATTCAGCGTGTATCGTTTGTCTGAAATTATTCGTTAAATAAATTTTATACTCGTTACCAATTTAAAAGATGTCAATTACTGTTGTTTATAGGATATTAAATTATTTGATAGTTGAAATAATGAGCCTTCCATCGGAAGAATTACTAAAACTACCGATATTTACAATATGTTTGAATGTTTATTTCATTTACTAATATGCAAAACGACATAAAAACATACCGACAGAATTCATGATTAAGCTGACGCAATTAATTAATCAATTTAATTAACTGCGCAATGTATCCCTTGCAATACGCGCAATTTGCAAAAAACACATTGTGCAAAAATTGTAGAAAATAGCGGAGTTAGAAGAATAATCTGACCCAATCTTGCAGAAATTGCATCAAAACGAAGTTATTTTACTGCACGTAAAACGATGAAATAGAGTTTTCGTAGCGCGCTCCCGCGTAAAAAATTCGAGCAAGAACTTGCTGGAGAATTCCATATGCGAATGCTACACAAAAAGGCTCCAACAGCAAACTAGGAAGCTACGCCGTGAATCCGTGCACGTTGCTTCCGTGTGCGTAATTCTTTTTCGTTTCTTCCTGTGTATGTTATTTCTTGTTCTGTCGGCCGGGCGAGTGAAATGCAATGACAGAAACGAGTGACACCGTATTCGTCAAAATAGAAGCACGTCGACTGTGACGAAAATGGGATTTAAAAATCGTCGGCGCATCGAGAAGTAATAATCCAGAATAGCAATAATTCAGATAAAAAGTAATAATTCAGATATACCATTTGAATAGAGAAACGAACTAGAGAGGATTATCTTCATGTCCGACGTCCAAATGTTAATCTTGCAAAATGAAAAATCGATACAAATGGAAAAGAACGTATTCCTCTGAGCGTATATACTATCAATGTATCTTTCACGTGAAAAATAATCCTTATCTATCGCACTCCTTCCTCCTCTCCTCATAATTATGGCAAGATGAAACGTAATCCCCCTGCTACCAGGACGAGACAACGGGAAAACGTATCATATCGTTTTTCGTTAAAGCGCATTATTAAACACCATGAGAGTGACGCGTATAATTACGCTGTGAAAGAACAAACAGCGGGGGTTTAATTACGCAATTTTTGTGCACAAAACAGCCCATCGACAAAAGCGTAATATAATATGTTTACACGTTGAAAGCTCCGCCGGTCTCTTTCATACGATATCGCGATGATAATAAATGGGGAACGTTATCTCTCGCGTTTACGAGAGAAGTAAACCAAACGACCTTCTCCGTAACGAACCTTCGTATATCCTCGCAGCATCCTTAGTGAAGTCGTATGTCAAAGTACATATAGGTTAATTATACGCTCTACATACACTCTGTACATACGCTCTCACGCACCTATATCTATCTCGCGCGTATATGTTTTGTAATCCTTGTTCTTCAAAGGCAGATCTTTGCGCGCACCTTATGCACGATTAGCTTAATCTCCGCGCGCACATATTAGACGCACCCTTCTGTGAGGGAAGCTTCTTAATGCTCGTGCTGTGTACACAAAGTTCAAGTCAGCGATACCTATCCACTCGCGATGAAAAAAACAAACTTTTCTAATAATATCTCTCAGACTACAAAATGCGTTTTAATGGTAATGACAAACACGATACAAATATAGTAATATAATAATGTCAAACACGATACACATATATATATAGTAACATTATAATAACGATAGAGATAATAGTTTTGAATATAACAATAATGGCAGTTATTAACATTGTACTGCTCTAATAATAACAAATGATATCACAAAGCATTACAGTATATCAAATTTCACTATTTGCTGTACTGTTTATTGATATCTATGTATATCATTTAGCACATTTAAAAAATTCTATTTCAAAATCAAGAATTCAAGTATTGTAGATATATAAATATGATAAAGATTTGGGTGTATTTACATATATATATGACTTTGAGAAAGAAATAATTCCCACCATAATGTGTCCCTTCGAACCAAACAATTTCTTTCTTAGGCATTTTCGCGTATCATTAATGGTAACGGAGATATTGCCTTGTAACAGAGTTACTGGGACACCCTGTGTATATATATATATATGTATATATATATATAGATGTTTTTAAGGATTTGCGAATTTATATAAATATATGAGTATCCCAAAATTCGCGACTACAAAAATTGTAGCAAGAAAGTCCTCGGAAAATTATAAGTAAACAAGTTATTTATAATAACTTTATAATTTTTATTTCATACTTTTTTTTAATGTAGTATCTTTTGAGATAATAGAGTTTAAATATAGTCAATTACAGACTATGTTTAAACAGTCGTCTGTCCATGAGTTGCGCGTGCAGTAGTATTAGTAACTATTGGTAAACGCTCACTAATACTTACAGGTAATCATCTAAACATAGTTGAATTGGCCATATTTAAATCGTTATATTTTAGAAGATATTGATTAAAATAAAAATTTACAAATAACTTTATTTAATTTCTCAAAAATTTTCTTGTTATAGTATTTTGAGTAGCGAATTGTGGAACATCCAGTATATTGTATAGATAATATGTAATAGATTGATTAAATCAATATAACTGCTATTCTTGTTATATTTAAAGTTATTATCTCTGTTATATTTATGTTTGGATTATAATGTTACTATATATCTATATATTCTCTAAAATTTTTAGAATGAACTGTCACTCTGAAGATCTAAAATCTCACTTTTAAAGATTAAAAATTAAACCACTCTTCTTCAAGAGTGGCTCAATTTTCACTCTTTAAAGTGAGATTCCATTTAAAAAAATTTAGAAAGTATATTTAATTATTTTAAGGGGATACGAAATAAAACTGATATTTTCTCTTTCC